CAAATAAAATCAAAATTAACGAAATCAAAACAACTGTAAAAAATTGAAAACAACTACAAAACTATCGAAAACAACTACGAAAGGACTTTCAAAAAATCATCGATTCCAACAAAACAACCATGAATTCGAGCAAATACAACTACAAAAACACAATCTTCTCAATTCACCTTCATCCCCGACTTTTTAACACGGCACAATTCCTCATAAATCACATCTGTGATTTTATCTTAACTACATAAATACCACAAAATAAATTAGTAAAACCACCAACTCAACTATGAAAAGCCGATTCAACTACGAAAACACCAATTCAACTATTAAAACTAATACTAGAGACATGTATAAAAAAAGCGATCAACTTCAAGCATAGTATTCAAGTACGGGTAGATCATTAACAAAATTGAAAAACATCATAGCAAAAATGATATAAAGAAAATCACAATAAATAAGAAAAAAAATATGAACTTTTTGCCTTAATTGAACGACACCAGATTTGAACTTGGTCGCGAAGCGTTTCGCATCGTCGGGTTTGTCGGAATGACGAGATCCAAAATATGCACTTGAAACCGTGCTTCCCATCGACGTTGTTTGATTTCCGTGTTGGATTCAAGGCGGTTGTGGAGGAGCGGTGGCGAGGGTGGCGGCGGAGTTGGAGGAGCCGGTTGTGGAGGAGCGACGACGATGTCAAAGCCTTAGGCCGACGTTGTGGAAGAGGTGGGGGCGGCGGCACAACAGTGGAAGGGGATGGAGGTGGTGGCTGTAGAGAGAAAAGAGAGAGGAGGAGAAGAGAAAGAGAAGGAACGTGAAATATGGTTTACATATCACAAATTTAAAGATTCAATTTTAATTAAATATATTTTTAATAAATAGGGGGCCTCACTAATAATGAAAAGATACTTATATTCACTTTAGTATAAGTAAATGATTTAAGGTTCTCACTAATTATCCCAAAAACAAAAATACTAACATCAACATGATTATCGCTTATCATCAATGATTTGGGCTACTTTGCCCAGACCCAAATATAAGAACCCAAAGCCCATATATAAGAGCCCATCAACCAGCCTGTTTCTCTCTTAGATGGGGCCCAAGCCCACCCACTAGCCCCCTTATCCCTTTCTCTCTCTACGCAGAGAGGTTTCTCTCTCTCGGAAAAAGGCAGAACACACACATACAGAAATGAACACATGCAGACGCATAAGAAAAAAGGCACAAGCATAAATATATATACAAATGCACACAAATACTTGAGATGGTTCAAAAGGGCCGCCACATCAATCAACATAATTAAAACGATAATATTCGTGCTCATAAAACACAGACTATAAATTTCATCGTAGAAACAAACTCATAGAAAGATCATGAAACACACAATTCATTCCTCCTGGCCAATTCTAATTAACTAAAAACTGGTTATTAATTTTAATTAACTTTTCAAACACATCATGTATAGTGGATGATTGTAAATTAACATTAATTAAATATAATTATCTAGAAACCAGCCACTCATTTGAAACAACAGTTCAAACACATAATCTTTAATCACGGTGCCTAAGTTTAAATCTCCTGAACTAGTTTATTTAATTTTTTTTTTTTTTTATGGGCATCTCTTAAAGTTAAAGGTATAAAATGAGAATAAAGTAACAATATTATTTATGTTGTACTAATAGGAATTTATAAAGTGAGGGAGCGAAGAATATCCTAAGAAACAAAAGAAGAGGAAAAATAACGTTCATGCCAAAATTATCAAACTTAAAGTGAAAAGATTAAAATAATAATCACCATCCTGGAGACAAGTCCTATTTCAAAGTCTCTTAACAAATAAATCATGAAAGTTGCTAACATATGGCTGATCTGATTGGGGACGATATATGCGGCCGATGATGGAAAAGAGAGGACGCGCGTTAGATTTTTTTTTAGGGTCGCGTTAGTCTTCATACATAATGTAAATACGTAAAACATGTTTTTTGTTTTTTTTATTTTTTGAAAATATGATATCTCTTTGAGTTAATTTTGAAAATGAAAAGGATGAGAAAATGATTTTTTTTTAAAACCAAACGCCTCAACGGCAGGGGGTTAGACGACGATCCAAAAATTATCGAGTCCGTAAAGAGTATAATCGTAGATGAAAAGCATAATATAAAAGGTTGTCGTTGAAAAAAAGAAGTCTATGCTTGAAATGAAAACCTAAAAATGATAACAAATATAATTAGAACAATACAACAAGCCCGAAAATATAGGTAAGACAACTAGAAAAGGCGAGCGTAATCAAAGACAGTGTGAGAAAATTAAACTATATTTTTATTTGATATATTATTGTAATTTCGATATTAATTCGAAAACTAATAAAATAAAATTGTTAGTTATTCCTTTATATTTATTCATTTTACAAGTAAAATAACAATTTTAAAGTACAAAATAATGACTAAAATAAACTAACAAGAATGAAAATTACTTTAAAGTCAAAATGTCGAGATATAGTGATTTTTTTATGCAGGGTATATTTTACCAAGATCTATATCTAATTTAATAGATGATTTTGCTAATTTCAAAATTATAGTAAGCTTATTATAATTTTATCAGACGCTGAAATTGAAAAAATAAAAAAAAAAAAGGAAATGACTAATTTTAGTTCTACTTATTAATATAGTTGTAATTAATATTAATCTGAAAAATGAAAGCTTATAGCAGTAGTTGATGCCACTAGCTTTTGAGATATATTTCACTATAGACTGAAAAAACAGTGTTCATATTTCAACTCTATGTTAAGTCTCTTTCAGCCAACTTAAAAAAAGAAAAAAGAAAAAAAAAAAGAAAAAAAAAAGAAAAAGAAAAAGTAAAAGCGTATCTTTCGGCCAACTTAATTTGCTGATTGGGCAGGAAAAGAAAAAAAAAAAAAAAAAAGAAAAAGCGTATCAAAGGGTGTCCTCGATGCTACACCGGCTTGCTCTCCTTAGAGTTAAATTTAAGGGGTTTTTACTTTTAAGTGCCTGACCAACAATCTTTATCATTCTAGGTTCACGGGATATATATTTTTTGCCAATAACCTCATCTCTAAAATATATATTATAAATAGTGTTTTAAAAATCGGCCGACGCAGCCCATTAATCGGTCTCCAAGGAAGAGGCGGTTCTCAAACATTTACGATTTTTGTGTAAAGGTTTAAAAAATCAAATTTTTCCTGTGAGACGGTTTTGGGCGGTCTGAGGCGCTCAAACTTTGGTAGCAAAAATTGGTCAAAAATCGGCAAGACATTGGGTTTTTTTTTCTTTTTCTTTTTACTTTTTTAATTCAAATAAAAGTTTGGACTTTAATAAAAGAATATGAGTTTATGCTTTGTTTTAATTATGTTAACATGTATTGTTGAAGAACTTAATGATACATGCTTGGAATATTTAAAAATAAATTTAAATTCAAAAAAAATATTATATTCTATAAAGATTTTTATCGTATTAGATCTTATTATTATTAAAATTTTATTACGTTATTATGATATATACACGACGGAGATATAACTATCTTTAAATATCTTTTTATTTATATATGTTTTGAGTATTTATAAACAATATCTAGAAATATATTATTTTAATTTTTAAAAACCGATTTATTTCCGAGTTATCGCCGATTTATCACAGCCGCACCAATTACTTTTGAGTCGGTGTCTAACCGCCTCCGACCCGATTACCGCTTTTTACAACCTTGATTATAAACAAAGACAAAATTAATGTATATGACAAAATTACTCACAACCCTTTAAACTCAACTCTTAATTTTAATCCCAATTTAACTTCAATGTCATCAATTTAGATCAAAAAAAAATTTGACGTTTTCTTTTTATTATTTTTTTTCCGCCGGACTCCGGTGTTGACTTTTTCTTTTTGTCTTTTTTTTTCCGCCGACGTCGACTGTTTTTGATTTTCTTTTCTTTTCCCTTTTTATAAGTCGCCGGTTTCTAGAATTAACCGACGGCCAGCGCTGGTCTCCGGCATTAACTTTTATTTTTTCTACAAATTTTATCCGTTTTTTTTCTTTACTCCCGTTATTGAACGCCACAACCGATATTTAGAACACTGGTTAAATATGGTTATAATTTAGAAAAGGCAAATCAAAATTAGAATTATAAAATCAATTAAAACATATAATTAAAGGACACGTATCGGAAGGATGCACACCCGATGATAACCACCGGGTGTAGAATCACAATTACCGGTAATCAAAGAATATGAAAAAGTCGTATGAAAATGTGGTATGAAAGCCAATATTCTTATAGTGCGATCTGCAATGTTCTGGAAATTTCCTCAAAGAAGACCGCAACATATCTTTAGTAAAAAATAAAAGCAAAGGAAAGAAGGGTGTAAATTTAGATTGGATGGTTAGGAAAATCGAATGTCATAGAATAATTGACACGTGGATAGTTTAAATAAAAATATAATTAGAATTCTAATAATTGGAAGAAAAAAAAACCACAGCAGAACCCATAACCCCTCTAACTCTAATTATAATTAGCGTTGATTTATTAAGAGTTAAGATTTAAGAGTGCCACATGTGACTAATCCGCTCAGAATTTAAATTTAATCTCCAGCAAATAATATATATATATATATACACTTACATGTATGATATTACAAAGAATCTATTCCCAATAAAAGAAACGGAGTATTAATTGATCCTTGCGTGTAGTATTATCAGCATTTCCTTTTAACTTCACTTTTCCTTTTCCTTTCACTTTTTTTTTTACTTTTACTTTTACTTTTTCTTTTCTCTTTAGCTGCATGCGCACATTGATTAATGCCTTTCATAACTTGGTTTTGTAAGATTGTTCCATCGTACATTCAAATTATTTATAAATTTAATTCATCAAACAAATAATTATATTGAATTTGTTATTATGAAATTTCAATATACCATCTCAGATCTCTCCTCTCTCTCTCTCCCACTTTTCTCTCTCCTCTTCCCTCCCCCAACCTAAATCCTTCTTCAAATCCACCATCTCAGCCAACCCTCTCACTCTTAACCCCCTCCGGCGCCGCCGCATCCACACAACATTTTCCGTCGCCGATTTGCGGAATAACTTGCAGGCGCGTGGGTCGGATCTCGTGGTGAGAATCGGGAGGCTCGCGAATTACGGAGGATTTAATTTCTTCTATCATTGTCTTTTCTGTGTTGTTCTTCAATCCCCTCTTCAGCTGCACCGCCGAGAAATTGTCACTGCACCGAGGAACTATTTTCTCAGCACTTGGGACTGCTTCTTCTACACTAGTGTAAGATCCCTGTACCTTATTTTTTCTTTCTTTTTTTTTTTTTTTTTTTTTTATTTAATTATGTAAAGTGAAATTAATTGAGAAGTGGATGAGAAAATGTATAAATATAAAAGTATTATTTGCTGTTTATCATAATTCATGTATAAATTATTATATATTTATGATCAAATTAGCCTGAAAATATCATCTGAAATGTTAATGTATATATATATATATATATATATATATATATACTCGAATATGTTTAAAAATTATTGGATCTTACGTATCATCATTGTATTTGCTAAATTAAGGAGGAATTATCATAAAAATTTAAAAAAAAAAAAAACAACACTAATTTAGCTTATGTGTTACACGAAAGAGAATTATTTTTATTTGAAGTAAAAAAGGAAAAAAAAAGTAAGGGGAAAAAAAGAAAGAGAAGAAGACAAGCAGTAGGGAGAGAAATAAATTAATATGAAGAAAAAAACAACAATTTCATTCTCCACATACTATAACTCTAAATAAACACCTTTTCCAGTTAAAACTCGTTTAAAATCTAATTCAATTTCTCCACGTGTCCGTTTTTCTAAAAAAAATGGGGTGTCCGTAAATTAAGATGAAATCGAAAATTTACAAACCTTAATTGGTAGTGATGAAATAGATATATAATAATATCAGTATGATTAATAATAAATACTACTTCAGAAATTGTTTTATGGAATATTTGTAATTATTTTATTTATTAAATCAAATAAACAAATATGAATCGTTTTATCATTCAGATCTTGAACGATTATTTTTCAAAATAATCATAAATTAAAATTTTAGTATTCGAAAATGTAAGTTATTTCAAGTTAAAAAAAAAAAGTATTGAATGAAAATGAACGAGATTGAAAATTTTGTCTTGCTGTACATAGAAAGTTTTCGGAAAGTTATATTTTTTTCTTGTGGAATTTGTACCAGAAAATTGATGGAAGGGTGAAATTGGAGAAAACTCAAAATTTGAGGGACTAATTTGAATATGTGACAAAAATTAATGGCATGGGAAGATGAATTTATCCTTCCTAACACATGCTCATCCTCTAATTTGCAGGTTTCATTTGCTGGAGTGGGTTCAAAAAAATAAAAAATGCGAAAGAAGTCCTTCGTCAAATTTTGAGTGGGAGAGTTCGATATGATTTCATAAGAGATCATCCCATTAATAATGATTCTCATAATACATCATGGCGATCTCAATCTACGTCGTTTATCGATGTAAGTGAAGTTCGTGGCTGGGACATGGATAATATGGAAACTATTATCGAGAAATTGATGTCTGTTGATGGTAGTGAAAGATTAAGCCTCCAAGTTGTGTCACTAATTGGGGTAGGCGGAATTGGAAAGACGACCCTTGCTCAATTAACTTATAACGATGTTCGGGTTCAAGAATACTTCGAATTAAAATTCTGGATATGTGTTTCACATTCCATTGATACTGCAGAGATTGCCAAAGGGATCTTGAAGGGCGCGTGTCCACGAGGGGGGCAATTGGATTCCATGCTAGAATCCCTGAAAGAGATGATTTCAGAAAGAAAGTTTATCCTAGTGTTGGATAACGTATGGGAGGTAAACCTTTCACAATGGGATACCCTGAAAAACATTCTCAGATTCGGTTGTCATGGTAGTAAAATTCTATTGACAACACGGAATAAAAGGGTCGCAAGAATGCTAGATTGTCTTCAAGAAGATATTCAAGATATAGGAGTGCTCCCGGATGAAGATTGTTGGCAAATATTGAGCAGCATAGCATTTTTTGGAAGGAGGGAACCTGAACGAGCGAAGCTATGGGATACTGGTAAGTGTATTGCAAGTACGTGTGACGGCTTACCACTTGCGGCAAGGGTCTTGGGAATCCTATTGCGTTTTAAAAGTAGCTTGGAGGAGTGGAAGAATGTGATGACTAACGAAATCTGGGAATTGCACGACGCAGAAGTTGATCTTTACCCACATTTGTTTTAAGGCTATAACGAATTGTGTCCACCCCTTAGACACTGCTTTTCTTATTGTGGCATCTTTCCCAAGGATTCTTACATTATGGTGGATACTCTAATACAATGTTGTATGGCCTTGGGTTATCTGGGCTCAGACAAAGGTGATGGTAGCATGGAACTTAGAGGGAGAGAGTACTTCAATAGTTTAACAATGCTTTCGTTTTTTCAAGTAGAGGAAGCTGATGGGAAAGTCCATATGGTTGAGCGAGGCAAACTTCCTAGAGGGAAAAAGGAAGACAAGTACTGAGTTTCTACGATCTCCCCATTCTTCATTTGGATACAACCCAGTCCGAAAGTCGGGAGCCCAAATAGTTCTCAATTACCAACTCATTCAGGTATTGATGCGGCTCAAGAGCATCTAGTACATTTAGGCTCACCGAGGAATATATGTCATCGCTTTGAACGACAAATCCTAGACATTCCAAGACTTTCCAAGTGTACCTTATGTCGGAGCTCCGCTTCCCACACATCCTCAACTTCAGTCCCGATGATTCTGAAGTTGTGGTTGAGGATGCGTGGGAAGCGGAGCTCCGACATAAGGTACACTTGGAAAGTCTAGGATTTATCGTTCAAAGCGATGACATATATTCCTCGGTGAGCCTAAATGCAATAGATGCTCTTGAGACGCATCGATACCTGAATGAGTTGGTAATTGAGAACTATATGGGCTCCCGACTTTCGGACTGGGTTGTATCCAAATGAAGAATGTGGAGATCGTAGAAACTCAGTACTTGTCTTCCTTTTTCCCTCGAGGAAGTTTGCCTCGCTTGGAATGTCTAGGATCGTAGACTTCTTTTGTTTTTTTTTTTTTTCTGGATAGTTGAATTGGAATGAAGCTGTTTGATTTTTAGAGTTTCAGTAGTGCAATTTGGATAAATGTTATTGGTATGTAGATTATTATGTTTGCAGCTAGAAGAGGGACTTGTGTCAAAACATTTCAATGGTTTGAAAAGGGTTTTCTTCGCAGTTGATTGATTCCCTATGAAATCCATTTGCTGATATTATTGTTGTTCAAGTAAATCTTTGACAAAGCCCTTTTTTAATTTTTATTTGCAAATAACTCCAAACCCATGGTGCTGAATTCTCTTGATAACAATTAGCTTTTTCTCGATTCACAAAACCAACCACCTAAATTCAGTTACACCATCAAACAATTTACATCCAACCAATAATTAACACCAGTAGCAGAATGTAACTAAAAGAAAAATAATATTTACCATTATAATACAATTCTGAAGTGTTGTTTGTGATATTCAGCCGGATTTAAAAATGGTCATGCGAATATAGATATAGATATGCTTAAAAAGGAATTAGTAGATATGAATAAAGCACCATGTTATTTTTATAAGAATAAGAATCCTCCTCTCTATTCAGTTACAGTTACAGTTACAGTTAATAATATACAAGTGGAAGAAATGTGGCACCTAACAATTTCTACAGCCAGTCACTGCTTTTGAAATTGAGACAATTGTGACATACAACATTATCAAAAATGACATCTCTGCATACACTTACCGAGAATTAATTGTGTCACCAAAATTACGAATATATATATATATATATATATATATATATATATATATATATATATATATATATCTAATCAACATTTTAATTTCGTATTTAGAATTACAGGGACACGTTAATAAATAAAAATACTAACATCTACAGAACAAACTCAATATTCGTGCTCAAATCATCAAACACGGACAACAAATTTCCATCCTAGAAACTAAGTCATATCTAAAGATCATGAAACACACAATCCATTAATTATCCTATAGCCATTTCTAAACTAAGCTCACTTATTGCATATTATTAACTAAAAATCAACATTTCAAACACATCATTTATAGTGGATGGTTAATTCTAAATTAAGATTAATTAACTAGAAACCAGCCACTCATTTGAAACAACAGTTCAAACACACAATCTTTAATCACGGTGCCCAAGTTTAAATCTCCTGAACTACTTTATTTGAAGTTTAATGTGTTCGACTGAATTTAAGAAAATGATTCGAGTTTTAAATTAATAAACTATAATTGCAAAAAACAAAAACACGGTGTTAAAGAAAACATCCACCAAATCTGCATTTGATATAAAAAAACTTGCATGAAGTCCCCTTCTATAACTATCGGCGTTAATATTAACGGAAAAGGGGATTTTATGCAAGAAAAAATAAATCACAAGGGGGTTTTACGCAATAACATAAACATGGGAGATTTTGTGCAGGTTTTTCTCAACACAAGGGAGTTTTATGTTGTTTAACCTCTGAGACACATCGGGAACTGAATGGGGATTTCCCCAATCAGCAAACTCATTTTTGTCAAGGTTAATAGAACGAGATCCTGAAGGGAACTGCATTTACGGGATTTTATATTGTTACAAGAATTTCGTCAAAGAGATTTATTTATGAGAACCAGGAGCATTGGCAGAGCCCATGAAATTTAAGTTGCTGCTAAGTCGCAGTTCGTAAAAAAAGCATCTTGGCTATTTTATTACTATGGTACTTGCTCTAATTTTTCACACGCATACAACAATCACATGTACCAACATGCAAGAAACTAACAAAGCGATATTTTTGTGTATTTCGTTTCATTTTATTTTGGTGAGAGAATGGTGGGAAAATTCTTTTCTAAGAGTAAAAATGAAATAAAAAACTGGATACCAGAAAAGGAGTAATGATTAAAAGGGGATTGGATATGAGAAAGTTTGGATGAAAATAAGAATGAGAAAATATTTGGATGTTTAGCAAGTTGAATGTAAGAATATATTTATAATTTTAATTAATAGTTACTCTGAATTTTGGATTGAAAGTATATTAGAGTGCGTTTGGATGGAAGGATTTGGGGAGGGATTTGATTTGGGGAAGGGATTTGAAATGACTCCAATTTTGGAGTCATTTGAAATCCACCTCAATTGCTCAAAACATAACTAAAAAGGAGGGGTGTGGATTTGAAATCCATCCCCAAATCCCTCAATCCAAACAAGTCCAAGGGATTTGTTATTATGGATTTGAAATCCCTTCCCAAAATCCTTCCATCCAAATGCACCCTTATAGAATGGGAGTATTATCTTTGTATTGCGTGTACCTTTCCTATTTCATTGTAAGAAAGTGATTATATAAGAGTGAGATCAAAATCAATGACGGAATTGAAAGGTTGATGTGGTGAAGATGCAAGGGTACTTAGGAGTGGATATTGGAGATCGTCAAAGATAGAAGAGAGAAATTTTTTCAAGTTTCTGGTGAAAATGGTCAAATGGATGGAAGAATATGAAGTGTGTATCGGCTGTTATGCAGCATATGACCAAAGCGATAAAATTGAGAAGATGAAGGAAATGTGTACAGGAAAACATAATTCATGCATTACAAAGAGACTTGAACATTATTCCATGTAACAAATAAATTCAAGAGAGAGAACAGGCTCTGCTATACCTGAGCTGAATGTGGAAAAATACTACTGGCGAGTTCCTCGTTTAAGAGCACAGGGAGAGGTGGCATTCGGCTCATAATCCCAGGCATGTTTCTCATGCTGCACGCAAAAAAATTAAAGAAGTAAAGCTACACTAAACAACATAAAACGGATTACCAATATCATAGTAAATAGACCATAAGGACGACATACTCATTCAAAATTGCAGTTATATTGTTCCTTGTATGAGAAAAAAGATTGATGTTTTCCTGCAACTGATACATGGATGTAATGGTCAGAACAGCTGAAATATATGAAATATCAAACAGATAAACAGATAAAGAAAAAGAACAAAGAAAAAGAAAAGAAAAAAAAAAAAAAGAGAAGAGGTGCGCATAGTGTGCATTCTCTATTGATAGACCGTAAGAAACACAAATTAAAATGCTTATAACAATTTTATTTTTTTTACTTTGTTGGTCACTATTTTTTGCATTGTAGCAAATATAGTCAGATAGGTAGTGAATCTAGAAACAAGCTACTATGGCATGACATGATAATATAAACATTGGTGGAATATCTGCTCTTTCGGATTTTTGCTTTACTGGCCCCAAATGCACTAAATTATATAGTCAAAATGAAATAGTTCTGCATACTTTAAAGGTGATACGGGACAAAAGTATTAAGTGATTTTCAATTTGCAGTATTTTTTTATCACAAATCTTTAATAATGATTTCAATTGTTATTTCAGTTATATATATTGGTTCTGTAGTAGATTAAAATTTGGTTGGGATTGATTAATTAGTGTTTTACTAGTTGAATCCTTTTCCTAATAGAAGTAGCTACAAATTACAAAACAGTTGTGATGTTGCACATGATAATCTGCAACATGCTCGAGATCATTACTAAGACCAACTCCAATGGGAGTATCAAATGGATTATCAAATCCATAAACCACCTTTTTGATATTCCAAAATCAAAATTTTCCACTCCAATGGGAGTATCAAAATGAGTAAGTATTTTAATATTCTACCTCTTTGAATGTAAAAATACATCCCGGAAATTGAGTTATCAAAAAAATAACTACCTAAACATCCAATCAAAAAATGACACGTGGCAATTACAAATAAAACCACTAAAAAACTTCCAATTGATTATTGATTTAGATAACCATGGTTGGAGTAAATAAGTTGTAAATAGATATTAAAATATTATCTTAATTATCAAATGAGTATTTGATAATCCAATTTTGATGTTTAGCATTGGAGTTGCTCTAAGTAAGCATTTCTAATTATTATTTCAACTATTAATTTTTTTATAATGTAATCTGAATTAGAATATACACTATTTTTATATATTCAAATGTTCAGGAAATCGTAATTGATTTTCGAGAAATTTCAGGATATCTTCTGATGGAAAATCTGCAAATTTAAAGTAAAAATTGGATCTTGCACCATTCTTTACTTTCTGAAAACCAGGTTAATCAAATTCTTCCATGATTACAGCCTCAGCCTTTGACATGCATAGCTATAGATATGGTTAATTAGTTGATAAGTTTCTTCTCATTGAGTCACAAATACTCAACGAGTTCATTTTGATTATATCTATGATGCAATTAGATTCATTATCCACACGCGACATTCATCCCATGTATTCAGATTAATCTTTATAAGATATACTTATACATCCGACACTTCAATTTGCATGAAATATTATATCCGACACTTTAAACTTTCAAGCAATTTGTCAGTAACTAATCGTTTTGATGACTAACGGACCTATAAGTCAAACTTCAAAAAAGCCCAACCTTGGTTGAAAACAACATACGCATGAGGCAGTATAATAAGCCCACTGCCAAGCTGAAGAAATTAAATGCTTATGACTACACTAGTCATATCAACGTCATGGAGTATAAGTGTATAACAATACTAAAACTTGATCATAAACAAACATATCTAGAAGCATAGTTTCACGAATATAGGATCTTTATACTGAAGCAAACATGGACAGGTTTTTGCATGTTTTGTTCACAATTTATAATCATTATTTTTTTATTACGTTCTCTATATAAGAAACCGCGGAGCCAACTCAACTCCTAGAAAATAATTAACAGCTCAAAGAGAATGATATTCAGCGACTTATTGGCATCTTGGTGAATTATAACAGGAAGACTATTAAAGGAATTCAAGAAATTTGGTTGGTTTTGGATAGGTTTCTTGAAGAAAATGTCAATAACAAATTTCCGGAGAATAAAAGGAAGATACTTTCAAGACCTGGTCGTTTCAGACAAACTGAGGTGATAAAGAAGAAAGAACAAGGCATTGAATCTAAAATCCTATGGCAACGGGATCATGCTTCGTTGCTTACGTGTCACAAATAAAGAAAAGAATCGGTGTTTTTTTAGAACGCATGATGAAATGAAAATGATATTATTAAATCCAAAAACAATTTCCATATTCCTGCAGAGACATGGCAGAGTGAAGAGATATTTATGTTCACCTCCCCTCAACCATAAAGATAAAGATGTTTTTTAAATTTTACATACCAAGATTGTTAGCATATCTTGTTTCGGTTCAAAATCTCAAAAAAAAGCTAATGCACTAAGAAATTTTCTATCTTTTTTACTGCGTTAACAGACAAGCATAGTACGTCTTTTTCCTTTTAGTTTTTACTACTAGTTTGAGATTTGCTATTAGAGAATGGAGAAAAAAAATGTAGTGAGAGAAAAAACAGATAAATCCTACAATATTTATGAATCATCTTAAAGACAGAAAGTTATGTTCCACGAACATGGGAACGCAAAATCAACGAATTGTGTGGAGTGGACATGGGGAAACGGTATATCCCAAAAGAAAAGACACGGGACGGGGTACCATATAAATATTATAAATAGGGGAGCATAAATAAATTGCAAAAACATATATGTTTTATTTATTGATAAATTATATTTTGTCATATATTTTCGTATAAAGTTATCCAAATAATTATTACTAAAAGAAACAATACTCTACTACTTTTTTAGTATTCATCTTTCTTAATCCAGTGTAAGAGTCCAGGGGAGGTACAATGATATTTCCGAATTTCCGTTAGTTTTTTTTCTCAAAAGTCCTATTATTGCATGAGGTATTTGTAGTATTGAAACATAAGGGTACTTTCAGGGTTTAACGACAACCTTAGGGAAAAGTTCTTACGTTTAGGTTTTCAAGTAAAACTTCCTTCAATTAGATTTACAAAATACGAGATACAAGAAACAATCTAGGCTTAGGGTTCAGGTCTTACCTTGAGAGTCGAAAGATTTGCAGATATTTGACCAAAAGCTTGGTTATTTTCTTCTAAAAGATGTCTGGTTGTGCAGCTTGGCACTGAAACGTATAAACCAAATTAGTTCACTAGATAATTCATCGATTCAAGTTCACAGACATGAGCACATTTTGTGAATCGAAAAAACACAATAAGTAATAAATAGTATATTGAGTAAGAAGGGTAAGGATGAAATAAAAGGGGATCGAAAAGACATCATCCAATGTATCTTCAAGATTAACAGCCTCCTAATTACCTTGCCCCATTCAACAGATAAACTAAGGTTATGTCACTAATTGGTAGTACCTTGTGCCTATGACCTAATTAGTCATGGGATTGAGTCATCCCGAATTGGGGTACCAGTGACAACACTTTTGTGAAGGGCGAGAAAGGAAAAAAACTAATTCAGTATGTTCGATTAAGAAATGGCTTATAGTGCCCAGTCGAACTATAACCCAGTGCCACTCACAGTAGCCTCACATAAGATAGAAATTGTTACAGCATCAGAAATCAGCAGAGTGGGATCAATTATAAAGGAGGCACTGCATTCCTTTTCGTCTGGCAGCATACTCTGATTTGTACATACTCGATACCTATATGAAGGAGGAAAATTCATCCTCACTCTATCCATCCATTGTGTAGCATAACATAAAAAACAAATGGGAGAGAATGGTTATAGGATCACTTCCACTAGAAGTAGAAAAAACAAATCTAACTTGCACAATAAGGAATGGTCATTCCCATTAAGGACTCCCTACAATGGAAATTATAACATACTTCTTCAGTATTGCCCTCGTTTACATGATCTACATCTTTTGGTATCCATATATGTGTGTGTGTGTGCATTTATTTATAGTTATCACATACCGTGATATGTATAATCTAATACTGAACATCTAATATTTCATTTGTATTCGTTTAATGCTATTTTATGTATTATATGCAGATAATATACGAGCAAAGTAAAAGTTATATTTAGTAGCATTTCCTATGATACTATTCAAGTGTATTACATTTTTTACGTTTCAAGAACCAAGATGGCACCCCTTTCTCCATCTTAATTCTGAATCTTCACTATCTGAATTCTGATGGTAAGACACAAAAGTAAGCAGCAGATGCTTGAACTAGCCCTAGGAATCGAACCCTAACTGCTAAATTCATAGAAAACTATAGGTACAAATATTCAGTGAACTACTTCCAATCAGGATCTCTATATCACATGTTTTGATCTCCTGAATAGGTAAAGTTCTGAAAGACCCTCAAGTGCTGCAGACCGAGCAAGCTTGTAAAAATAAAACTTGATGCCATTTCACAAAACTGTCTAAAACCACTACCCAAATTGGTAACAAATAGTTGCACATGCAACTTTTGGACCTCATAAGCTCGTAGTCGTTTCATGACAAAACCAATATAAAACTAAAGTTTGGCCGTCGGCGCCTCAGGGTTAACGAAGTTCATTTCATAATAAGTAATAAATTATCTATGATAAAAATAACGTAACAAGATTCAGTAGGTAAAAAATGCAGTTCACATATTATGAGAAAAACTTTGGTAGTGTTGCACTTTTAAAAGAGCTACATTAAGAGAAACCTTCAGGCAAACAGACACTTCATTGAGTTATTAAATATTTAGGTCCAAGCAAAAACAAGTGACAAGTAAATTCAACAGTGGTTATCCTTTATTTCCATTAACTCAGTATACGTACAAGTAAGTTTAATATAACAAAGGAGAAAAGGAGAACCATCCATTGTGTAAAAGAACACTATACAGAAAGAGCGTCATAACCAAATTTCCAAAAGAGTTGGTACACACCAATAGCAATACCTGAATATGCGTAATCATTCTGATGATGGTTCGTAGTTACAGAATATGGAGGCACGTTGACCGATGAAGCTGAGCAAATATTATTCTTCAAAGAGGACTCCATGAATTTATCCTGAGAAAAGGTGACACCTTTAAGAATGCTAGTTCATTTTTTTCTCGACACTTGCAATAGTAAACACAAAGAGTTCATAGAAAATTATAGATCAGAAGAAAAAGAGCAAGAAATCGGCAGCCACAATCAATCAGTTAAGAGAGACTTAGTACTGCCCTTTTTGCGTGAGAAATATATATGCCTTAGAAGAATGCAATATTATGAGGCTTGAAACATGGTACCACAACCAACGAACGAATTAGAAGGTACATTTATGAAATTCAGAACTTGGTTTTTCAAGCATATATGTTCGCCATAATGTGCAAAACCAAGAACAAGTTTTCTTTCATCTTCCGACTTCATATGATGCACTATTCACAAAGATTAATTATCTTACTACGATAGGCCTACAAACTAGATGGTTCTTATTACGATAAGCCTACAAACTAGATGGTTCTTATTTCATTGTGGGGTGATAGAGACAGAAAGAAGACTTCAACCTGACCTAATAGCAGTGGAATTGGTTTTCAATTAATTAGAACCCAATTGTTGATTATCTTCAAATTCAAAAATATTTCATGAAAACAACATACGGAGATCAACTACTTTACAATACATGGAAAAAGAAAAAAAGAAAAAAAAAAAAAAAAGCACCTTCCGATCCTTCACTTTCTTCCCCAAACTCTGATCCTCCTGTTTCCTTCGCTTTCTCTATCATTAAACATTTTTTTCTATTTAGGCAGAATTACTCAAAACAATGTGGCATTATACTCAGGAACAAGGAAAAGATATACAAACTTAAATCAAAATTATAGCGCATTGTTTTGATAATAACTAGGATTAGTTGCAATCTGTAAGAGAATTATAACTTACCGCCATCCATCTGCATCGAAGAGCAACATCACGCACAGTTTTATCGTGGAGTGATGCAGCAATCTTGATGTACCGCATAATTTTTGGTTCATTGGCATATCTACAAATTAAAGAAATTAACCAGATGAAATCAAGGTTTGCTACCTTTGAAATAAAAACAAGACAAATGAAGAAACAAAATGTCAGAAACAGATTAATTTGAAGTAGAATGGCAGCAGGACTAATCAAACTTTCAAGTTTCGAGGAATATCAAACCTCTAATTGTTTGCATACTAAGATATTTTCTAAGCCAACCGTGTTTCAGTAAATCAACTTCCGAAATACGGAAAGATCCCCACAAATGGGAAAAAAAATAAATAAAAAAAATCAAGTACCCACTGATTTGCCCTGATAAGGAAGAAAGTACCTACTTGGCCAGTGCTTCCTCCAACTTAAACTGTTCTTCAACGGACCATTCAACAGCCAAACCGGTATCGTGCTTCAATCCAGGAACCGAATCCAATAGAAGCGTGGAGGGAGAACCCATAGAATTACTCTGCGCAGCAGACGATGAGAAAATCTGAATTCCACCATCATTCAGGTTTCCCCCGGGGCTATTATAGTAATTACCCATCGGAATCAGTTCGTACCCTCCCGAGCCGCCGCTGCTGCTGTTGCTCATCGCACCGCCGCCGCCGCTGTAAAGCATACCCTGCTGCTGATGCTGATTTTGATTTTGATGAAAGCCGGCGTTGAACTCGCCCGCCATAAAGGAATTTGGGAGAAATTGATTCAATTGCGGAATAAAGGATTAAACTCCCGTTCAATTTTGCGAGGAACATCTGCCACCAGGTAGATAGATGGTTGGGGTTTCCTTAACTGTCACATTACTAATCTCTGCGATTCCAACTCCAAATCCACCACCAACACAAGGTAATTCCAATTTTCTCTCTCTAAGTGTGTGTGTGTGTGTTAGTGTGTGTGAGAGAGAGAGAGGATATGGAAAATGTTTTATTTATTATTATATTTTCAGGAAGAGGATATGGACAATAGCAAGAGTGGAGCAAGGAGAAGAAGAGATGCTGTGCTGCTGCTGTTCATTAACTTTACAAGTGGGAGATATATATATATATATATATATATATATATATATAGTATTCATATTCATTCTTCTTCTATTAACAAAGAAAAGAAAAGAAAGATGAGATATTTATCTTTTCTTTTTTCTTTTTTTTCCTGTCGAACTTTTGAGGAGTAAACTGCAAAAAGTACCCCTGTGAAATTTCAAACTAGCAAAAACCCCCCTATGATAAATAAACTAGCAAAAACCCCCCTATGAAAATTTGTTAAAGGCAAAAACCCCCCTAGTGCGTTTTCGTGTTGCACACTCGCCGAGTGTGGCGCTGGTGACGAATTTTTAGATCTGAAATTACATAATTACCCCCCAGATTTTATTAATATGTAGTTCATGATTTTTCCGGAAATTCCTACACAAACCTTAATCTCGATCTTCCCGACTTCAATTCGACCAGCGTCCTCCCACTACCGCAGCACAGCCTCGACCGTCGGCTGCTCTGCTGTGCTGCTCTACCATAGCCGTCGTCCAGGATCGAG